TAATTTTATTCATATAAATAAATATAAATAAATACTAAATTTCTTATAAATTTAATAAATTTAAAATTTTAACATAAAATTTTACTTAATTTTTGTACATAAAAAGTGACTAATGGCTTTCCGCTTGACTTAGACTTAAAATTTAAAAACGCATCGGGTGTGGACAATTCCATTTGACGAGGCTATCCTTACAGTTGATCTGAAGTTTCAGGTCTTAGTCTTTCATATGTGGGGTCAGTGGGTCCCGGGGACATCTATACTCTGTCACATCACTGCTACGTTTTATGCAATGAACTGTGACAAACTGCTTTTTGGTTGACTTGACTAAAACTTAAAAAAATGTGACCTTGTGTACGATTCCATTTAGACAAGCCTATCCTTGCCGTTGATATTAAGTTTTTAGTCCTGGTCGTTACCACGTGGATCAGTGAGTCCCGCGTGTTAAACATTTTGTGCTTATCTCTTTATTTAAGACTGAACCGTGACAAATTACCTCACAGTAGCGTTATCTTATGGAACCCCTTTTCCCACGCATCGAATTCATTTCATCGGGGCCCTCGAGATATTTTTTTTTTGTATTAATCTCTCAGTGTCTGATAACCACTTTGGATCTCGATTAATCTGAAATCGAGCCGCGTCGGACCCCATTAGGGGAAGCTCTCCAAGCATCTGTTTCTCTATTCACAAGACTCGAATTCAACACCTTACTTAAAGAGAACCGAACTCCTTTCACTTGGCTCAACAGATCGTTAGTAGGGCCCTCGAGATATTTGCTGCAGGTTTCTTTGCGAAAATTTTTTTATTAAATGTGAAAAAAAATTTTGAATTAAAAATTATATTAAAAAAATAAAAAATAAAAATATTCTATAACCTTACAATAAAAAAGTTCAAACAAAATTTTTCCCCAGTCAACGACCGTCTGGGACCCCCTCAACTACTTTTCCTTGCAGAGAAAGCCAAGCCGACCCCCTCTCTGCTGCAGCACGCGGATGAACAGAACCTTGCAGAACTGGCGTCCATTTTTATTTTTTGGGAATCTGAGACGTAGATGACAAATGGGGACCATCGTAGGCCTGCTGAGTCATCTTCGCGTGGATTTGTCTCCAATTTCATGGAGCAAAGAGGCGAAATGGGAGGCATGGGCAGGACGTGGGGAAGAAGGGGCATTTGAGGAACATTCATGTATCCTATCAGTCACATATCAGGTCTTTTAAAATTGAATAAAAAGTGTATTATGTTTTAATATTTGACAACTTTTAAGTAAAATCTTATATTAAATTCTTTAATTTATCCTAAATATTTGATTAACCTCCAAAAATTTTATCGAATAAATTCTTGAATTTAACCCTCTAAGTAATTAAATCTTTTTTTTCAAGATAAAATTAATATTTATTTATATATGATTTATATTAATAAAATATTATCATAACATTATTTATATAATATATAATAAATATTAATTTTATCTACATAAATAATACATAAATAAATATTATGTTAGTTATAAAAAAATTAAATTATCTAAATTAATAAATTTAAAATTTTATTTATTTTAATAAAAATCTAAAAATTTAATTAAAAATTTAAAATAAATTTAAAAAATTAATATAAAATTTTACTTAACTTTTATACATCAACCGTGACTAATGGCCTTTTGCTTGACTTAGACTAAAAAAAACGCGTCGGTGTGGACAATTCCATTTGACGAGGCTATCCCTGCCGTCGATCTGAAGTTTTAGGTTTTAGTCTTTACTATGTGGGTCCGTGGGTCCCTGGAGACATCTTTACTCTGTCACATTACTGTCACTTTTTGAGTCATAACACAAAAATAATCTCTTTGTATTATATTATTATATAATCTTTATATATTATTAAATAAATATATATTTAATATTATAAATTTTAAATAAATAAAAATTAATTCTTTAAATAATACATAAAATCATAAAAATATAATAAAAAATTATTTTAAATCATTTTTCTTACTTTTTAGGCATAAACTATAACAAATAGCATTCTGCTTAATTTGATTAAAAATTAAAAAATGTGATGATGTATACGATTCCATTAGATGAGCCTATCCTTGCCGTCGATGTTAAGTTTTAGTCCTGGTCGTTACCACGCGGATCAGTGGGTCCCGAGTGTTAGACAGTTTGTGCTTATCTCTTTATTTAAGATTGGATCGTGACAAATTACGTCACAGCACCAAAATCTTATTGAGCCCCTTTTCTCACGAATCGAATTCATTTCATTGCACCCGCGAGATATTTGCTGCAGATTTTCCATCTTTTTGCCTCGTTGATTGAGGAACTTCAACTTAATCAAACTTCAAACCCACCAAAATACCAACAACCAAGTGGGACAGCGTGCATGTGCGATGCGTCTCATCGCGCCTAGGAGTCAAGATAATGGGAGAGGTAGAGGGTGGGCAAAGGTTAGCTTTAGCCTTTTGCCCATCATATTATCTTAT